GTCATATTCATGAATTTCACATGCTGGCAGAGTTGACCAAGGGAATAGCATGATATGTGGATTTTCCCAAGGAAAAAATCATAATTTGCTCCTAAGACCTCAAATGAAGTTAGAAATCAACTGTAATTAACAGTGGGAAAGTATTTTTGTCTGAAAATCGGCGGAATGTGGATGTTCCCAAAGCCACCTTCAGCTTCTTTACTAGTTCCCCCTTCCAAAGAGAACTATATGACAAGTAAAACCCCATTAAACATGTATTTTGAATGTGGAAACAAACGGAGAGCAAGTGTTACTAATCTTATATGCCTATTTTAAACTTCCCTTTGACATAGAACCAAGTGAAGGGGCATCCACTGCTGTCAGGTAGGGGTTTGTGAAGATGCAAGCAAAGATTGTGATGTCACCCCTCAGCCTTAGTGCTAAACAGTGCTGTCAGTCTCTGCTCCAAATGAAATCAATGGCAACTGCAGCTGCTCAGAACAGATGTAAATTAGAGCATCACAATAGCATCTTCCCCAGTACATTCAATTATGGCTGAAGGAAATACATGGGATACAAAAATGTCTGGCAGAGAGAAGACTTCACTGGGAGGAAAAAGAATCCTGGGCCAGATTTCACAGTTTGCATGTAAAAGGGCAGCCCAAGTTGACAGACATAGGTAAGAAAGAGCTGAAATTTTCATTAAGCCATACTATCACATAGAGACAACCTTATCAATAAAGCAACTTAGGAAGCAGCAGTGCCTCATTGGGTTAATAATTGTTTGGTCCAATGATACTGAGAAAGGGTTTTGCACTGCATAACTGCAGTCCAAATATACTCAGCTCTCCCTTTTAACCATTGGCACTATATATATTGGGCTCTCTCCTTTCCCCATCCAACTAAACTAGGCAAGTCAAACCATATTTTACTACATCACAGGATTCAAGGTACGTCTGCATTAGGGGTACTGCCAGTATGGAATGAAAACCCTCTCACCCCATTACACCATAACAATATACTGGCAAAACCAGTCAAGGCTATACTTAGTAGAGAATAGCTGCCACTTGTGGGAAGCTAGTCAGGCTACTCATGTAAGCTCTTTCAGCAAGAGCTGGAGCTTCACTCTTGCATGTTTGGTATCCCTGAAGTACAATGAATGCAGTGCATGTGACCCCTCATTTATAAAATAAACACATCAAGCAAGGAAGAGGGAAAAGAGCAGAAAAAATACTTGCTTACCACAAGTCCTAGCACAAGGGTACGCACTCTCTCCCCAATCTCTGGTGAAATGTCATTGCCAAACTGCTGTAAGGTTGTAAGAAATCTCTTCAGTTTGCTGAGCTGCCTAGCTCCACAAGCTGGCGGTAACTGCTGGTTAGCCAGAGAAGAGGAAGAGGAAGAGGATGGCCCATTGCTAAAGCCATTAGGAGGAGACGGAGCTCCATTTAACGCTGTTGGTGAATGGCTAGTGCCATTGGTTACTGAAAGAAAAAGAGACAGAGGATAAAATAAAGATTGGGGTTGGGGAAGAGATAGAGAGAAAAGGAGACAGGGGAAAATCCATCAGCTTATGTTTTCTGCACTTGACCTCAGAATTAATTAAGTTGCACAATCAAAGATAATTAGCCTTTAGATAGAGCGACAGTCTGCAGTTTATATCTATTTCCCAGTAGCTGGTGCTGAATGTTGTAAGGATTGGAAATAATAGCAGCTGCCTCTCACACAGCCCCTTCAAAATGCTCCTGGACCTGAAAAGCATAATTTGAATACCAGCCCTTTGTCAGAGGATTTTAAAAAGAGAGAGAGGGAAATGGATAGATAAAAACCATGAGTGCATGTATGTTTGAAGACCAAAAAAAAAAAAAAATTGCTCTTTGGGGTAGAAAAAAACCTGGAGACATATTTCATGAAGCCTCAGTTTATCTCTGAATATTTTTACTTGTGTTTTGTACACACAACTGACAGCTGTGTTTATAAAACAGGACTTTCACGTTTTAACCTTACACCACCCAATGAGAAGGTTATTTTTTCCAATACAGATTTCCTAGCTGCTAACATATGGAGCACGCAAAGTTGTCTGTGCAGGTACAAATGCTGCCAATGCTCCCTATGTCCTGAAGCCTCGCAGCAAGGGCACGAAGCTCGACTTCAGAAGACTTCTCAGAGACCATGAGCAAATCTCTCTGCTTTCACGTGCCAGCATCTTATCTCTAAAAAGGATAAGAAAGCATTTCCCTCCTTTCCTCACAGCAAGGTTGCTGTGAAAATAACTATATGAAGTACTAAGCATTGAAAATTTATGGCAACGAGATGCATGCAGACATACTGAAGACAATAAAGAGTTTTTGGCAGCAATTTCAGTTTGGTTCTTATCCATACTGTAGAAGAGAGCAGAGAATCAAACTGAGGACATCCTTTTCCACTCAGATTAGTTGGAGAGCAACACTCAAAACACATGCTGTTGAGGTTGAGTCTGATTTGCTAAAATGACAGCAAACAGCGAGAAAAAGGATGGCTCCCTAGAAATACAAGTGTACCAGTGCATTGGCAGGTGTGGGCATGCAGCATGTGACTGTACCCAGCAGCAGCTGCACTCAATGGCCCAAAATGTCTGATTTTTTCTTTGGGAATCACTCAGAACCCCTCCAAAAAAACCATAAAAAATCAGGAACTTGTCTACAATCAAAAATGCATAGGAATATTAGTTTAACTTGTTTCCTATTTAAAAGCAAAACCAGGGCAAGCTAGAAACTTTAAATACTTTAAATATTTTAAATGCTTTCAATGCTTCTCAATGACCAGCCTCTCTGAAGCCAAATATCCCATTCTCATCTCATTTTCTTCATCAATTGTCCTTATCTTTAACCAGAAGTCCTTTTTCAGGGTGGACACCTACTACTAGATATAAACCACTATCCTATTACTATATTTAAATCACGGCCACAAACCTTTGAAGTTTTTTTTGCCCTAGTCACTGCCTTCCAGAGGCACTACAGAAAAAGCTATGTAAATTGTTATCCAGCCTCTGTTTGTGTTTTATCCTAGGTTTTGATTGCCTGTTCTGGCTGCATGGGCTAGTGAGAACAAGAATTGGAAAAAGCAGAAATGGAAAGGAGCTGGCCTCAACAAGTTCAGCTCCCCGTGGGGCTCCAGGCCATGCTCTGAGTGCTGCAGTGGGGTGAGGTATTTGAGTAAACAAATTCGTTGTGATTGCAAGAAGCTCACATAGCCAAAAGTCATCCAACCAGGAACTTAGTAAATGGGGGCTGGGGAGAATAGCAACATATCCTGCTGATCTACCCTGACCCCACCCAACAACTCTGTCACCCATAAGGGGCTGCTCTAGGCAGAGGGTGTTGGGGCTATGATGAAGAAAGCAGAGAAGTGTGGAGTTCCTTACTAGGATAGATACAGGGAGAAGAAAGGCTGGTAAAGATTCCTCCCACAACAAAACAAGTACAGAAATAGTCCCATGATTTCAGTGCTTTCCTTATAATATCTGAATTTGCCAATTGGCCAAGTTGTGCATAATTTCTGAAACAAAACCATGTTGCTAATCCAAAAGAATTTAGCATTTAAAATTTCAAACTACAACATGTCAAAAATTTTTAATCATCTAAACCAAAGAAAACAAAGATATTCTAGACCAGAAAACAAGTCAGATCTTTCTGGCCTGCAGGCATTCCTGCTGTAGCAATAATAAATGTAACAGAAACTCTGACAAAAGTGACTGTTTATTGCACAAACTGGAACAGTTAAGGCCAAACTCCAAAATGTGACAGGGTAAAATCGGGGTTTTTTTTTACTTTTAGTCTTCAAATATGGAGTCCCAATAATCAAGCTGTGGTTCAAACACCTTCCAAAGTGCTGAACTCAATCAAATAAACAAACATCCAGAAGCCTTGTGAGGACTGTAAGTGTGATTAAAGAACATTGTCATATTCCTTTTATGATTGCCAAAGATCATCTTGAATTTTTGGCAGGGCATCACACTGGAAAGCTTAATCTGCAAGAACCAGATCCTGCAAAAACCTAGAAACAATTTAACTTCAGACTGAAGCAGCTCCAGTGTGAAGCTCCATCCAGGATGATTCAGGTGCTGGAGTTAAGCAAAACAGACAAATCTTCGCAGGATCAGGGTCACTGGGTTAAAAGTGAGTTTATGTGAATAGCTGGCACAAACCCTCCTCACTGTTTAAGTTCGACATAAATTGTCAGGACAGGGCTCCCTGGGATAAGTAGTACAAAGGCCTCCAGCTGGCCTTCTGCATAGAGGTGCATTTTAAATAAGGCATTTAACAGAGAGAAAGGGACTAAAACAGACATAGGCAAGACAAATAGAAGATGCAGTCTTCATTCTGTTTAGGCATATGTATTCTACTGTTCTAAAAATGTTTTATTTAAAACGTGAAATGTAAACACATTCTCATGTTTATACTATTACAAGGCAGTATAAAAGAGACAAAAAAATTTGCAGCTAAATCTTAGTATGAGAAATGTGTATCATTTCATGGCTGTGAAAAGAATAGTCCAGACAACGTGCCAGATTCAAATCTCAGTTACGCTGATATGAATGCAGCATACATCAAGAATAGTAGACTTTGTTACATGTTTACATCAATAAGCTGAAAGAGAGATGCAGTCCTAAGTGATTTAGAGAAGTGGTAACAGACTAGAAACCTCTAGATAAAAATTATGAAAGGACTTTAATTTTGGTTTTATACCAATATTAACTAGACATTATATAGCACTGAAACCAGAATTCTTCACTGAAACATTAGCAGGAGGAAGATTAGTATTTTATCATTATGAATTATCTCCACTTTAAAAACAAAAAACAAACTGCCTGAAGTTTCTATACAAAAGAGAATGGGATCATTTAAACAACATAATGGCATGTAAGAGAAGAAGGTTTTCTGTCCTTCTCACAAGAGGGCTAACCTGAGCATTAAGCACATGGGAAGCCAATGCTCACTGCTCTTTGATACTCTCTGATACTTTCATTGACCAAATGGTCAATGAAATAACAACACAACCCTGAGCTGAATATCTTAATACCTTAATATCTTAATAAAGATGCATTAATCTGTTGTGAACTTTGTTTTGTTTAATTAGTTTAACCCAATACAATCAAATGACGCTCCTGCCACTTCATGCAGATTTCCCTCCACCTATTTTGGTTTCTGACACACCAAACAGAAAGAATAGAAAGAAGATGGAAGAAAAGGAAGAAAATAAGACTAATTACACGTTGTGGGCGTAAATGAACTGGTTCTTGGAGCTCCTTGGGTAGTGGGAGGAGGTGGCATGGTTGGAGGCGTCAGCCTGGATTGTGTCTTCACATCCACAGGTGAGTCTGGCATTGTGGAATGCTTCTCAGTGCGATCTGCAACACACACCACAGGAATACACTGGTTTATTTCCCCGAGCACACCCCCTCTGACAAAAACTTAAAAGCTAATGCAAGAAGTGAGTCATTTCAGCATCTGCTGTGAAAGATTACACCTGATCATCTACTCAGTGTGCTCTTCCCAAATTGCATCATCTAAACCTTACTTAAGAAGGTGCAACACAGATGGTAAGACCTCATTTGTAGCAGTGCTGCATTATCTTTTGTTTTTATTTCTAGCATGTGCAGATGCTACCTCCCAAGCACTCCTGGAGCTGCAATAATGCCACCTCCCTTCAAAGCTCTCATGTTAGCCAGGAAGAAAAAACAGATGAAGGGACAGGAAGATAATAAATCCCCTTATGACATCTCTTCCACCTGAAGTTCTTTAGTACAGGTGAGATATTGGGTGGAATATCAGTTGAAGCCAGCTCTCTTCATGTCTCTTCTTTGTATCACCTGCTGCCTTCTCCATTGCTTCTTTTTGTAATCTTATGTTAAACTTCGGTTAAATACACACACCCCCTGGATCACTTTATCACAGTGCCCCTGGTTATTTTCATATTCACCAGAAAAATAAACACAACATGCCAAAATTGTATGTCAATCATCTCATATACATACAATTATTTTCAAATATGCATGCACGTTTGTACCTTCACATATAAAGAACAACTTTTAATGCTCAAAACCTGCAAGATAAGCAGGAACATACCTCCCCAAGAAAACAAAACAAACATAAGGCAAAACCAGAAAGAAAACTTAACACTTCTCTTGCAACTGAAGATCTAAATATACAACACACATGATATAAAAGCTACAGAAGTGCACTCATCTTTCTGAATGACACTACCTTAAGTTGTTTTTTTTAAACCATCCAAGCCCATATGTTTCATTTATTAAGGATGAGCAAAACACAGCAAAATTTACCAGCTGAAGGCAAAATTAAGACTTTCTCACTCATGCCAGGAGTTTAGCAAGCCATCTTGAAAAAAGTTAAGTATGATGATATTTAGCTTTTAATGGGAATAAGTCAAATTCTTCTAGTCCTTCCTTGGGGAGTCAGGGCTATTTATTGATACACAGCCCAACAGAAGTCTTCCTGAGCTCCACAAAACTATTCTGTACAGCAAGTAGGTGTCACTGCTAATGGGCAAGCACGTAAGACTGAGGTTTTAATTCAAGACATGTCACATTCTATAAATTCTGTCACTTCACTTTGTGACACAATTCCTTGTTCTTATTAGCAACATACTAACTTCAATGAAATAATCATATCTGAAATTTACTCTGAGAGACAATAACAGAAACTCAATGCAATGCATAAATTTAACAAAAAACATGTTTAAAAGAGCCTCAAAACACTTAATTATCAGAAAAGTTAAATATGAGAAAGTTATTTAAAAAAAAATAGGGAAGGGGGAGCTAGGGGGAGGAGGAAAAACCAGCCCCCACGTTCCCCAAAAAAGTTAACAACACATAACAGATAGCAATCTTTCTCTGTCTGAAATTGAAGAAACTGAGGAAGTAAGTAGTAAGTCCCAGAGGTGCAGCATGTCAGGTACTTCAATTACAAAAGCCATCTTCTACCTTTGTTGAAATGCCTACAGGCAATGTTTCAGCTCTCAGGGAAAGGGAGTAATTTCATATAGAATTTAGAGACAAGTTTGGGGAAGACGAGCAGTGAAACACTCCCAGAATAGGATGAGGGGAATAGAGATACAATTTTGTAGGATTTGTGGTGTTGATTTAAGGTTAGTAAACCTCAGCTGTGGAGGGAAGAGTAATCACAATGATTACCTTAAATATTAAGGTTGTTACATAGGTAAGTGAGGTATGATTTTCAAATCAAGCAACAATAAATTATTACACGCTGGAAAACAAAAAGAGGTTTCTAAACAAATTCTATACGTATTTCCTTTCCATATCACTATACTAAAACAGTTAAATCTCTATCTTCAATAAGCCATTAATTTCTTATCAAGAACTATGAAAACTCATCTTGAAATGTTAATTGCTTCCTTAATAGCCGAATTCATCTTGCACTCACCTCAACCAACCTCAGCAACAAGGGAATAAATAGCTTTCAGCTCATGTTGCAACAGAGGGAAAGAGGCACAGCAGTGAGCCCAAGCCCTCCTAAATAAAGGCAAATATTTCTCCCATGCCAAGAAAGGAGAGAGAAAGGGAGGCTTGCCAGAGCTGGTGGGGAGATAACAGTGGGAACTGCTGGTCCATCTGGTTTTCATTCTGCTAACACTCACATTGAACTGTTAAGGAAGGCAGTCCAGGTACACAGATTTGAAGCATGTGGGAACGCAGACACAGGCACAGAGGAGATGGAGGTGGGTGGAAGAAGGAGTGAGAGAAATCGAGCTCCTCTAACAGACTGCTGCTCGCTGCAAGCAGGCACAGCCTGTATCCTCCAATTCAGCTGGTGATAACTGAAAGCGATCCTGAGCTGTAACCAACCGCACTGCTCCTGCTCCCTCCCTTCCCTTCACTGCATTTCAAAGTTCAGGTTTGATCAGAAACCTCAGATCAGAGGAGGGAGACTTTCCCAAAAAGCTGGCAGTGTTTTGCTACTTAAATTGAACACGGTAGTGGGAAATAGCGTGTTGGTTTTGCCCTCGAGTTTCAGGTTGCCACTCTATTATGATCCAAAAGGTTTTTACTACCTCCAACAGTTTGCCACCCAGTCTGCAGATTGCTGAACTTATCCATAGACTCCTGTACTTCTCATCTAAATCTAATAACATTAGGTTTGATTTTCCCAATTACCTTTCTTTGGACCTCTTAGGGATTAACACAAACGCACTTAACATACCACTCACCTTTTCATTACCTCTCTCTCTCCCTTGCAAAGCCTTAAACCTACTCTCCTATTGTATGATTGCAGGCAGGCAGATTTTCTCTCTGACTGTCTGTAAGTTCCCTAGTCCTGCCTTCTTTGAGGTACTAAGGCTCCTTTCAAGCACACCCCAAAACATTTCTTACCAGAGTACAGGATTATTTTGTCAGAACAGAGATTCTCCATGGGGGTGGGGGAAAACGGCTTTTGAAGAAGTACAATGCAAAATGCAAAGCTCTTCCACATGCTTGCATGACACCATCACACCACCCAGCCTTTACAATTCTCTATTCCACCCTCTTAAATAACAAAATCCCTGTGGGAGCCATTCTGCTCTTACTGCTACTGTTTACCTGTTCCTTGCCTTTTCATACAGCTTCCTGAACTCTGAGGGAATGATGGGACTGGGACAACCTGTCTACAGCACCTACCACTGTCCCACCACCCACAAATCAGAGCCACCAGTGATAAAAGCATTAACAGTTCTCCTAATCTGAACTCCTGAAGCTTTTCGTGTCTAACACTTGGCCTACAACTCCAGCTTCTACAAATCACTGTTTACTTTTTAATTAACATAAACAATAAACCTAACAACCAACACTTTTTACTGTAATGGTTGAAAAACAGCCTGATGATATGAAAGCTAAGGACAAAATAGTATTTCAATCATATTCACAAGCCAATTTCCTCCACGATATGATATTTCACAAGGCTTTTAATGTATAGACATTTCATACAAACTCTCAGTGGATATTCTGCTATTTGTACATTCAGAGGTAATGAGGGTTTGGTAGGGGAAGAAAAAATCCCTCAAGAGGAAAAACTCTAATTTTAACATATCAAAACCTGCCTGTGTAAGATTTCACGTACATTTCTCCAGTTTTACAATACAGAGACATATACATTGAATTTCGCCTGAAATTCACAAGAATTTTCACCATGTCTTAAAATTGCTCAATTTCTTGAATTCAAAAACATGTTTATCCTCTTGAGTCAAATCAAACTCCCCACTTGCAAAGCTAGTTCCAGCTATCTTTTTCTTCAGATGGACCCTGACATTTCAAACAAGAATCCTGAATTAGGAGGGACACACCAGAAAGTTTCATACAGGCAGCATCCCACGTTTAAAAAGCACAGCCCGTACATACAGAGGGAGTAAATTCTTTCAGGTGCAACAATTTCTTCCACTGAATCCCTTTAAACAATGACAGACCTCTTCTCCTTAGCCCAGTTCAGATCAAATGCGACTGAAACCAGAGGTCCTCCAAACTGGAAGGAAAAGGAGACATCTGCAACTCATTCTGTAGTGTTTGCTGCAATCAGTTCAGGATGGAGAAAGATGGTGAAATAATGGTCTAGTCCTAATCCATACACACAACCCTCTGGAGCAGCGAGAGACTTAGAATAAATTCAGAAAACATGTTTCAAGTATGCAGAGATCTATTGCATTTGCTTTGGATTATATTTTTTTATTTAAAAACAAACCCAAGCAAAACATTTTGAAATACACATTCTTGAATCTACTTTACAGCATAGAGTGGAGAACTGTGATTTAACCACAGAAGTATTTTGCTTCATTTAAAATTAGAGAATGTTGTAAAACCAACTTTAAATTATGGTATTTCTTTTGTGGATTTCTTGGTTCATGGAACTATACCGTTCTTGTCATTCATTCAGTTTTTACGGAAGAGGTTATTTTTATCACTATATTTAGCTGCTAGGTGAACACTGATATTTACTGTAAGCACAGTCAGCTTCTGAACCAAACAAGGAAGAGACAAAGCATGCAGGAGCTGGGGCAGAGAGAGATGTGCCTGCATTCAAACTGATTTACTTTGCTTCCTGTACCCTACAAAATTTAGTCAATTTTTAAAACAAGGCGGTCTTTCATAAATGGCAACATTTCAGCGCACATGGCACACTTCCAAGTCTAACGCATCAAGGAAAGCTGATGTATGGAACAAAATATGGAATATATAAATACTTTACTGATACCATTTCAATAGCCAATTCAATGTCAAGCATTTCTAGGAGTGGTGTGTTTTCAATTTCCTTTTTTAAATGAAAAAAAATTGTGGTATAATACGCTGTGGCATTTATTTTACTTTTAGTTAGTGCAAACAGTTCCAGATGTATACTCAGGCAT